CATGTCATTAGCACCTCTAGTAATATATTTACTGAGAAAAATGTTGACGTGTTCAATACTTATTTTACCCGCTGTATATATATGAAATCCTGGATGGATTGTCTACCCCGCAGCTGATTTCAAATCTGAATGTGAAGAAGGATCATTGATTCCTATTTATGCTCAAGAAAAAACACTTTATTTACCATTGCTAAAGTTGTTGAAACTTTGTTTTTTAAAGGTGCCATAAGCATTAATGTGCCTGTGAATGAATTCCTCGGAAAGATAACATTATTAACACATTGTAATAAAAGAAAGTCACACAGCTGAGATGAACAGCTGTTGATATACTGTGTGTACTAACAGGAAGTGATGACAAAATGGAATGCCTGTAACACAGCATTTCTACAACAACAAACAACGCAGACAGTAGCAAATAATCTGATGTTTCTTTCGATTATTTAGAGTCCTGATTGGACAAAGAAGAGTCAGACTGTAAACAAACAGCAGATTACCTTCAGAGGCTGAATTATCAAGGTTTTCTCACAACTCTGGGAGTGTCGATAAAACCAGCTGAATAAGGAGGAATCACCTAAAAACACCACAGGACATCGTTTTTCTTTTTATTTCTGACAATTTAAACAAGGTTTGACATCTGAATGAGAAACAAATTTTACCCAACATGTTCCTGATTTAAAACACTCGGTCCTGGAAGTCCGGCATCATAATTGAGCAATTTGTCTTTTATTATCTAAAATATCCTCAAAACTGTTGTCAGTATTTCATTACTGACATTTCCAAACTGTCTAAAATTGCAGAAGAGATCGCATTTTCATTATTATCAAGCCGGTGCTTGTACATCTAATGATTCTTACTGAACCTTACATATGACACTATCATTACAGATATCATCATGTCCCGCTGAAGGAGAGAGTCAAGCTAGCTCAAAACTGGTCTAAAGGCGTCTGCAAAAGGTCAATTCCTCTCAAATGGAAAACCAAGTATGTATGTTTTTTCCCATTGAGACACATTTCCTCAGGTGCTCGCTGATCTGTTGTTCCTCTCAGATCTACAGGCTCTAACTCGTGGAGCAGACAGTGGGAACTGTAGGGTTACTTTTGTTTTAAAACTTCTTTAGGTCAAACAGCCTTTTCTGAACAAAAACCAGAATAACCAGCACTTTTAATGGTATTATCTGTTTTTAAGCCTGTTAAATGAATTGCCTTAGCATTAAAGTGTATTTCAAACAGTTTTATTTTCTTGTTGCTAACGCCCATGTAGGGACTGGTATTGCAAAATAGGCTATAACTTTTTAGTGTCCTTTTTTTTTTGTTGATGCTTGCCATTTGTTCCCATTAAAATAACATTTCTTATTTGCACTGTGCATGAAGTGAAGATGAGTCTGGTTATTCAGTCTTTAAGACCTAAGAATTTTTCACGAGTTCATAATTATTATTATTATTATTATTATTATTATTAACTGATGTAACCCAACAATGCAACTTTAGTTCCTGTGCTATGTTGGCTTAAAAATAAACTCTGAATCATAAAGGTCAGTGAACAAAATGATAAATTATTTACAGTTCCCATGTTGTTTATTTATTTATAAAAGGGGTACATACATTAAAACGTTGTATTGTTAAAAACTGCAGCTGTTGTTTTGCTCATGGCTTATTCCTAATTCTTTGATGGACCTAAGTTTCCCTTTAAAATATTGTTTTTGTCTTTTGTGTCCTATTTTAATCTGATGTCTTTGAATTTGTTTTTACTACTGCAGTTTATTTTCCTTCAGTTCTTATTATGATCAGTTTCGGTTTCCCCCCTGTGTTTATGTGACTCATCATGCACCTCTACCCTGCCACGCCCACTCTCACCTGATCCTTGTCTCTTTCCAGGTGTTCAGATTCAGATTCAGAGATTCAGATTCTCTTCATGGTCTTTCAAACATAACATCAAGGATGCACTGTAGAAAGACGTTACGTTACATATTAGCACACGACATAAACAGTTTGTAAAACTATAAATAATGTAAAGTTAGAGATGCTAAATTAAACAAAGCAAAATATGTTAGGCATATAAGAACAGAAAAAAATATATGATAAAAACAAAAAATAGTAAAAAATAGAGTGAGGTGGAATCCAGATCAAGATCGAGGTGTAGGTGGTATAAATAGAAAAATATATAATAAGGTGCATACATTGCATTTGTGCAATATATAACAGTATGTGGACATCATGTTGGACATCTGTCCTTATAGTAATCCTTTTTCTTCTGTGTCTTTCCATTAATTACTCAGTTCTACATTGTGATTTCACTCCTTG